CAAGTTCATACTTTGTGGCGCATGATAAAATCCTGGAAATCGCGTAAGATCATCGCGATAAATCTATCGATGCCAATTGTTCGTATTCTGCGCATTGAAAAAGACCGTATCGTGATTTTATCGATGAAAACTCTATTGACATCCCAACTCGGGTCGCAGTACGATAGCAGAGGACATTTCCCTCTAGTTATCTCTCATTTTCATGGAGTGAGACCAGAAATTATTTTTTTCACGCGCTCATTTACTTGAGACAAATATTTTCGAGCTGAATGCATTCAATTAATTTAATTTATTTTTGATGCTTCTCATTTTTAGATGAAATTTGTTGAGAGTTCTAATAATGATCGGTACCTCATCAATTGATAATTATCTACTGAATGCATCATGTCCATTCGGTCTTTATCATCCGTTAATTTAGCGCGTGAATTATCCTCGATAATTGCCCGGTATTCTCCCGTGAATTTCGCATGTGCTATTCGTTGACTCAGTGGAGCAGTGAGTGAACACACGAGTAACAATAATTATTCCTATGTAAATGTGGATTTCGTTGGGGCCAGGTAGACAGGCTTCTCTGAACACAATGCACCAAGTATGTTTAATTTTTCGGGACAATTAATGGTGTAATTGATGGTAATTGGGGTTATATTCATACACGCCGTGAGGGAATTTGTTATTCACTCGAGAATAATTAATGCAAATAACATAAGAATCCTTAGGTTCATGTTTCATCATCGAGTCTCCGATTTGCAGTGGAATTTTCACTCAAAAATATTTTCTCTAAATGTTTTTGTCTTTATTCGTTCAAATTTTTATGAATTCCGTTTTGAGAAATTTCGAATTTCATGTAAAAATTGGAATATCGAACATTTTCATTTATTTATTTCTTACAATTAATAAAAATTGAGAAAACAGCAATTATTGAAAACAGGAAAAAAAAATTGTTTATAATTATCCAACATAATTGAATGCAATAATTTTTATTACTTACCATTACGTCATTGACAATTATTATTATTGTTATCGCCTTCGGAGTAAATTAGTCTTCATTATAATTATTCATTCAAATAAAATTGATGTAGTCCGTGTCGACGCCAGTGGCCCAATTAATGGTTATTTAAAAAAATTCACACAATGGGATGATAGATAGTCGGTTAATTGAAACTCGACTTTTGAAATGGCGGAAGGATCCTCAATCATTCAGATGTCACATTTCAATAATTTATTTTATCATAATTTCACACAAGGTACAGTCTTTGGTAATTTGAGGTAGAGCTGATGTCAAATCCAATATTTGACTACATTAAATAGCATTGTTAAATGCCTTTCAATTACAAACAATTAGTTAAATATAACGGACTCTTGAAATTTCCTAGGATGTTGATGAATGTTTCCCTGGGTGCTCTCGTTTCTCCCAGAAGGGGTCCTGCGCCTTTTCGAACACATCAGTCACTTCGCCAGCTAGATTCAAAGACGTAGACCCAACTGCTCGAAATAAAATTTAAACAATTGCATTATTCACTCCTGCTGAATTCAATAATTCATATTTTCAAAAACGAAAATTAGATAATGGAGAGCCGGGCAAAATGGGAAATTTCCGGAAAAGCTGTTTTCACTCATTTCAAATTATTTAAATCGTTCATTTTTCGCTTTTCATCGTGAAATTATTAATATGGAAATTAAACATTTTTTTATTTGTTAAGTGTAATGAGATTTTGAAAAAAGTGAAATATTGAATAATGGATTTGTACGATCCATTCATTCCATGCTTTTTCATTTTCTCCTCTGTCTCATTTCGAACGGGTCTTCCCTAAATAAACGAAATAACATTAGATTAAAATAGTACAAGGCCATAAAACTATTGCCTGGTGAGTGTTTTTATCATCGGCAGTTCAAATAGTAAAGATAAATATTCGTCAGAAATTCGTTATATAACTTTTATCACATAATGATACAATACACTATTTTAACAATTTTTTATTTTAACTCGGAATTTATTGATAACTATGAATGATAATTTTATTTATTTCAATTATTTATTGAATATTTTTAACAATAGCTGGAGAAATAATAATTATGTAAAATAAAAATTAAAAATAAATAAATCAGTGAAAGAAAATAGAAAAAAATGGAATTTTTCTAGATTCATTCCAAAAAAAAAAAAATGACAAATTACCTAATGTGGCGGCACCCACGCCTATAGCAAGTGACACGAAAGTCAGAATTTTGGATTTGACCATTCTGGACACTTCGGATTGTTTGTAAATAATAATTCCAACTGAAGGCAGTCGATCTCCTTACGATACTCGATACAAGCCTCGCCCACAAAATGGTCACAACTGTTTCCTTTTGACGTACGGAAACCTACCACTTCGGATTGTTTGCAAATAATAATGCCAACTGAAGGCAGTCGATCTCCTTACGATCTTCGATAAAGGCCTCGTCCACAAAGTGGTCACAACTGCTTCCTTTTGACGTGCGGAAACCTATAAGTTCCCGGAGTGCGCAGTGTTTGTGCGTCAGAACCCATGATTCGTGCGTAATCATTCGAGGAGGTGGGGATCGCCC